CATTACAAAGCTTGGACACTTGATCTTGATGTTGTGCAATGCGTCCTTGCGGTTAAGTATGTTGAATGCGTTTGAAGCGTCCACCAGGAGAACTGCCTCACAGTCATGCTGCTCAAATATTGTTCTCATGGGGTTAATGGCAGCTTCCCCTCCAGCCTGGTGGCCAGCACAAACTTTTAGGTTCCCTGCTGCTGCCCTGATATCATCCTTTACCACTTCCATTATGCATTTTCCGATGATCCGCCTCAGCACTTCCCCCCACCCCTATAGGCCTACATCCTGGCCGTAAGAGCATGGAGGTGTTGGCAGCACGAGGATGCCAGCTTTCTTGCAAGGGCGGCAATGGCAATGCAGAGATCACTTGCTACGGGGCCAAACTTGTTAGTGCTGAGGATGACTCTCCAACCGTTTGCATCCAAACCTGAAGGGCCGGCACCTCCCTGAGTCTTCAGTGCATTTTTCCACACCATCCTTCCTGTCATTTTCTCGAACAGGACAGCATTTGGTGGGATATAGTCACCCTGGAACCTGATGCCTTCGTCTTCACTTGCAGGGGGATGTTTTTCTTTCAATTGTTTTAATGTCTCTCTGTATATTGGCAGAACCCCACCTGAGGATTTCTCTGTTAGAGCTCTTACCGCCAAAGACATTTTTCCCACACGCATTTTGTTTCCAAACTTTCTTGCAACGTCATCAGTGTTTTGCTTTCCGTCTCCTGTAAATTTTAGTCTCTCCTGCAGTGTTCTTGCTTCACATAGGAGATCATAAAGGGCCCCATTCTGCCACATTGCCAATCTTCTCTTCATTGCTGCCTCATTTTCTTTGTGCTCAGTCTTTGTGTGTGTCCTCTGACAGAATAGATGTGGTATTATTGCCAGTATTTGAAGCGCTAAAGGGGCAAGGAAGCAGTCCTGAGTGTACTCAGTTATGAGGCGAATCATCCCCCGAATCATTTCTTTGGTCGCTGCACACTTGGGTGGTTCAAACAGGTTAGCTAGCGACCACCTGACAATTTCTGAGTAAATTTCTTTAACCCATATGTCCGCATTTTCCATCGACATGCCATTCCACTGTGGTGGCTGTCTCTCATTCACCTCGTGGACATCTGCTACTATTGGAGCAGCGTTTATTAGTATTACATTTTCAGGTTGAGTAGACTCACTGCTATCATTTAGGATATCATCGGGCGGATGGGTCCCGGCGATATGCACTATGGCCTCCTGCGTCGGCTCCCTGCCATGTGGGTTCAGACAATTGTTTCCCTTTCTGCAAACCACACATGGTCGGTTGTTTCTCGCACAATCACAGCTAGTGCAATATTGGTACTGGCTAGCACAAACGCAGCAATGTCTGTTACCCGACATAGTGTTCCTTGCACCTTGGGCGACAGTTATGTCCGCCTCCGACATCTGCTTTGGTCCCATACAGACGAAGAAACTAGTTCTTATGAGTAAAGGGCAGAGAGGTGACAGGCTGGGCTGCTGTGTCCGGGTAGTAGGGGCATACCTGCGCTCGTGCGTGTGTAGGCCATTCCCCTGTGGGCGAGAATCCACTACTACTACTACTACTACTACTACTACGAATAATAATAATAATAATAATAATAATAATAATAATAATAATAATAATAATAATAATAATAATAATAATAATAATAATGATAATAATAATAATAATAAAGTAACTTTCACTATCACTTTAATATCATGGTTTGATCGCTCCTGTTCTCTTACATGTAGGGGGACTACCATCTCGTGTCAAACCAGAAGAGAGGAGTGACTGGGTGGCAACAGAGGGCAAGAATTGGTCGGAGATGGTGGTACAGAGTGTAACAAAGAGTTTTACAATACGGTTGTTAAATTCTTGGAAGAGGGATATGATCTGTGTCATGTTAGTGGAGGGGGATTGTGGGGGGGGGCACCGGTGGGAGCTCAGAGAAGAGACGGGGAGGAGGCCCAGTAGTAGTTCAGTTAGGAGACGGCTGGGACTGCTGTGTTGCAGCCAGGTGAGGCCAGGCAGGGACAGGTGTTGTTGAAGAATGAGGCGTTGCTGGAGACAGAGGGGACGCAGAGGGAAGCGGCCCTGTAGACTGGGGGAGGAGGGGGGCGTTGTGGTATTGATTTTGATTTTGCCGCTTACAGCGGCTACTTTATTGTTTATCCCACACTCATCCTGTGAGCGGTAGTGCATAAGGATTGCAGAGTAGAATTTACAATGGGTCATAATAATTAACCCCCGTTATCAGGATATTATGGCACTGAATGTTACGCGGCCTTCAGGGAGGCATTACCCCTGGGACAGACGGGCGATTAGGGCATTGCCTTGAGTCAGCATTGTGCCGGCCGCCACAGTAACAACACCTGGGATCAACCACATAGCCCACACCACCCCTCATTAACGTGGTCTTTGATTTTCTAGGCACAGGCGGCTGAGTTATGGTTACGTGAACAGAAGCGACATCTGGGACGATCACGTCGGCAGTAGGCAGTGAAGGTGTGACCCTAATGAGAACAGATAACACAAAATGCAGGCCCAGGATGATAGGGTTCTGCATAAAGTGGAGGAAGGATTGGGTGGGCCTCCACAGTGAGTTGGGCATTCCCTTCCCTTCCCTTCCACTTGACAATGACAGCATCTTGTGGAGTCTTCCCCCAGTAATGTCGACATATACTGAGTATACTAGAATTAAAGTCACGCGCATCTTCGATGTCAGTGTATAGGGGGAATCGTTTCACTTGATAAAGTTACGATTCTTATCTTGTCGGAATTGAATGTTGAGACCGTGTTGTCTGCAGTACTTCATCATCCAATTAAACCATTCCTCTCCTGTTTTCAGCGAGTCCTTGGAGAAGTGTAGATTCAGCTTACTTGGCTGGTTGGCAGAAGGCAGGGTGATAGGGTCCGTGGCTTTGGCTTTTCCACTCTGGTTAGTGTTTCCCAAAGAAACATTACTGTCACTGTCATAATCACCGGGGTCTGACTCTTGAAGGGTGTTGGATTCAATATAACTAGGCGAGTTGGCGATGGCATCCGTATCAGAGATGTCTGCTTCAATAAGAGAGCCTCTTATCTCTACCCCCATGCTGGCAAAAACTTGCCGGCTGAGGGGACCTTTGTGGGACGATCGGGAAGTCAAAAGCATTTACGGGCACGTGTGTCCCTTTATATGGTCACGCCACGACTGATGACCAGAAGACGACTGAACTAATTATAGACAAGAGAGGTCAAAGGTGACAGGTCAAGGTCATATACACTGTCTAACACGAACTCAGGAAATAGGTCAGGAATGAAGGTCACTGTTTATGTGAAAGTCAATCGTGTTTACTGTTTATAAAGGGAATATCTTAGATTAGGGTTGAATACTGTTGATGTCTGTTAGCAGGTGAGTGAGAACAATATGACTAGCTGTTGTTAAAGTAGGTCAAACGTCATGATCAAAGAGGTGTCAGGAGCAGAGGACTGTGCTCGGATAATTACCTCTCGCGTTGTTTATGTGTTCAGTTTACAATGTCACCTGAAGATTAGACTCCCCAGATTATCTCACCTGATGAATAAACACCCTAACGCTTATCTAACATAACCTAACCTAACCTAACCTAACCTAACCTGACCTAACCTAACCTAACCTAATCTGGGGTGACTATTCTTCGCATAATCAATTTTACCTGGTAGTGTGGTGAAGTGCTTGTGTAAGTAGATCTCAGTGACAGATTAAAATAAGTCTCGTGAATATTATAAGTTTATACATAGGTATTTACCACATGATGATTTTCCACGATTCATTCACACGTTGGTATATGAGCTGGATTTAACTACTTCTTATACAGTTTATGTTAAGTGTTTACTAGTGCTAAACAGTATAGCTTTTGTCATATTCAGTACTTGTGGAACGGCAGGTAGTCATGTAAGGTAAGGTTAAGTTTGGTTTGGTTTGGTTTGGTTTTATTAAGTTAGGTTACGTTAAATTAGTTTGGGTTAAGATAGGTTAGGTTAGGTTAGGTTTGATTTGGTTTGGTTTGGTTTGGCTAGGTTAGGCTATATTAAGTTAGGTTAGGTTAGGTTAGGTTAGGTTAGGTTAGGTTAGGTTAGGTTAGGTTAGGTTAAATTAGTTTGGGTTAACAAAGGTTAGGTAAGGTTTCCACTTAATACTTGTGCTTGACGATAACAAAGGGTATAATCACAAAGACCTTCAAACACTTTCCGGATAAAGGTATGATAACAGGTTCAATATCACCTGAAGAATCACCACCCCAGCTCATTTCACCTAAAGACTAACCTTACCTAACCTTTCCTAACCTAACCTAACCTAACCTCATTCCCCCAAAGCATTAGCGTGGTTAATCTTTAGATGAAATAAGGTGGGATGGTAATTCTTTAAGTGATCCCAAGTTAATTTACATGAGCCAATACTTCATTCAACAGTACGTCTTTGTGTCAGTCACTAGAGCCATCCCTCCACTCACACACCTGAGACTGAGAGCTTCTGGAACCTAACTGATAGATGGCGCTAGACTGTATACCCTTCTTTCCACTTGGTACAATTTCGAGCAGAAGTGTAAAGGAAATTTTTTTTGTATACTTCCATCGTTCTTAAGAATGTCTTATGTGTACAGTACCTCTTACTTCTTGGGCCATCCTTAAATAAACAGATGAATATTATATTAAATATTTTCAGATTAACATTTATATTTCTCACTAATCTATTACACCAATATGAAATTTGATAATTATAAGTAATAAATTCTCCTAAATTACTAATTGAATTTATACCTCACCTCACCTTATATACCTGTACAATATATCCCTTCACCATCCCTACACGACACGCTATCCCTCCACCATACATACCACGCTATCCCTCCATCATCCCTACACGACACACCATCCCTCCACCATACATACCACACTATCCCTCCACCATCCCTACACACAACACACTATCCCTCCACCATCCTTACGTCATCCTCGAGACTAATTCCGTATACTCCTCCTCGACACAGGTGGACGGAAGGCCTTCAGGGACTTCCTCAAGTGCGAGTACTCAGAAGAGAACATCCTCTTCTGGCAGGCGTGTGAGGACCTGAAGGTGGAGAACAACCCGGCAGCCATTGAGGAGAAGGCCAGGCTTATATACGAGGACTATATCTCCATACTGTCCCCGAAGGAGGTGAGATGGTTAGCCTGTGTGTGTGTGTGTGTGTGTGTGTGTGTGTGTGTGTGTGTGTGTGTGGAGGGGAAGGGAGGAAGAGGATACGGAGGTAATGTTGGAGGAAGGAGAGGTAGGGAAGGAGAGAGGGAGGAGGGAGATGGTAGGGTGGAGGATGGGGCAGAATTGGTGAGGAAGGAAGGGCAGGAGGAATGGCAGGGATTGATGGGGAGGGAAAGGGTAAGAAGGGGAAGAGGAAGGGATAAAGAAAGAAGGAGAGGTAGGGAGAGAGTGATGGAGGAAGGAGAAGGTAGGGAGGGAGTTAAGTGGGAGAGAGGGTGTGATGATGGGAGGGGCAAGGAGAGAGTGATGGAGGTAGGAGAGGTAGAGAGAGAGTGGTGGAGGTGGAGGTAGAGAGAGTGGCGGAGGAAGGAGGAGAAAGGGATCACTGGTAGAAGGAAGGAAGAAGAACAGGGAGTTAAGATGATACGTAATAAAAAAAAGAGAAGGAGAGGGATGACAGAGGATTGAGATGACCAAGAAAGTGGAAAGGGAGGATGTAACAGAAGGAAGAAGAAAGGAGGAGGAAGAAGGAACAATGATGGAGAGATTAAAAATATATAAAATCTAGTGGAGGAGGAGGAGGGGGGGGGGGCTGATAAGACTGAGAGGTAAAGTCAGAGTTGAATGACCTTCACCACACTACTCGTATAGTGCCTCACCTTCACCACACTACTCGTATAGTGCCTCACCTACACCACACTACCAGTATAGTGCTTCAACCTAATGCCATCATGTATATTCACTTAGCGTTACCATTACATTGACCTTACATTCATCATACTTGGTAAGTGGGGTGAGTGTCCTCCAGGGTGGTGTGGAGACTCACGAGGTGAAGGAGTTGTATTATAATAGCCTCTTAAAAAAAATGTCGTGCACCCGCCAGTCCACCAGTACTGAGAGAACCTGGGAGGTGATTGGAGGAGACCGCACGACACCTCCAATCTTACCAGAACTATCGACGGAGTTGAAAGTCATTATTTTGAGTTCTGAGCTAATAAGATCAACTAGTCCCAGTAACATGATCTTTCCCTCCCAGTAACATGATCTTTCCCTCCCAGTAACTTGAGTTTTCCTCTTCAGTAACTTGAGTCTTCCCTCCCAGTAACATGAGTCTTCCTCTCCCAGTAACACGAGTCTTCCCCTCCCAGTAACATGATCTTTCCCTCCCAGTTAACATGAATCTTCCCCTTCCAGTAACACGTCTCCCCATAAAGAGTCTCCCAGTAACATGAGTCTTCCAGTAACAAGAGTTTTCCAGTAACAAAAGTCTCCCAGTAACAAGAGTCTCAGTAACAAAAGTCTCCCAGTAACAAGAGTATATTAGCAACAAAAGTCTCCCAGTAACAAAAGTCTCCCAGTAACAAAAGTCTCCCAGTAACAAGAGACTTCCAGTAACAAAAGTCTCCCAGTAACAAAATTCTCCCAGTAACAAGAGTCTCCCAGTAACAAAGGTCTCACAGTAACAATAGTCTCCCAGTAACAAGAGTCTCCCAGTAACAAGAGCCTCCCAGTAAACAAGAGTCTACTAGTAACAAAAGTCTTCCAGTAACAAAAGTCTCCCAGTAACAAAAGTCTCCCAGTAACAAGAGTCTCCCAGTAACAAGAGTCTCCCAGAAACAATAGCCTCCCAGTAACAAGAGTCTCCCAGTAACAAAAGCCTCCCAGTAACAAGAGTCTACTAGTAACAAAAGTCTACTAGTAACAAAAGTCTCCCAGTAACAAGAGTCTCCCAGTAACAAGAGTCTCCCAGTAACAAGAGCCTCCCAGTAACAAGAGTCTACTAGTAACAAAAGTCTCCCAGTAACAAGAGTCTCCCAGTAACAAGAGTCTCCCAGTAACAAAAGCCTCCCAGTAACAAGAGTCTCCCAGTAACAAGAGTCTCCCAGTAACAAGAGTCTCCCAGTAACAAAGTCTCCCAGTAACAAAGTCTCCCAGTAACAAGAAGAGGTCTCCCAGTAACAAGGTCTCCCAGTAACAAAAAGCCTCTCAGTAGCTTCAGAGTTTACTAGTAACAAAGTCTCAGTAACAAGAGTCTCCCAGTAACAAGTCTCCCAGAAACAATAGTCTCCCAAGTAACAAAGTCTCCCAGTAACAAGAGCCTCCCAGCGCAAGAATCTCACCTAGTAACAAGGGAACTCAGTAACAAGAGTCTCCCAGTAACAAGAATCTCCCAGTAACAAAGCCTCCCAGTAACAAGAGTCTCCCAGTAACAAGAGTCTCCCAGAAACAATAGCCTCCCAATAACAAGAGTCTACTAGTAACAAAAGTCTACTAGTAACAAAAGTCTCCCAGTAACAAGAGTCTCCCAGTAACAAGAGTCTCCCAGTAACAAGAGTCTCCCAGAAACAAGAGTCTCCCAGAAACAAGAGCCTCACAGTAGCAAGATTCTCTCAGTAACAAAAGTCTCATCCAGCAGAGCACACTCAGCACCAGTCTCGCCTCACCAGGATAATGGTTTAGGGAATACCAAGTTGTGAGACTTGAGCCACACTGATACTTTTCTCTCTCTCTCTCTCTCTCTCTCTCTCTCTCTCTCTCTCTCCACCTCCAGGGGAACTATTGTAGGTGTTGTCAAGTGGGAGAGAGAGAGAGAGAGAGAGGTAAAATGAAAAAAACTTTGCAGGGTAACTTCAGGAGCCAGAATGTTGTTAAGGGTCAAAGTCCCGCCCTAGGATCCAGAACTTTTCAGGCGTCTCGTGGATCGTAGGTACAATCATGTTGAGAGGAGGAGGAGATGCAAGGACTTCTGAGACCTTGCTAGGTGAGTCCTTCGTGCCAAGACCTTAAGGAGTCACGGGTTCGTCGGGATGCATTTAGGAGTCTCACGAGAAACATTTGTACATTAAGGCTACTCAGGAGTTAAGTGAAGTGAATAGTCTTGGTGCATTACTGGTTTATCTTTGTGTCTGTGGAAACTGTGGGGAATACACACACACACACAAACAAACACCTAGTTATTATATATCATATTTGTATCACTTATATTACTTGTATATTATTTGTAATTCAAGAGACCCATTCCCCAATTATGAAACTGTATATTTTCAGCCTTCCGGCTGCCATGCTCTTTCAATAAATCGTTAATTATTATTATTATTATTATTATTATTATTATTATTAATTATTACATACACACTGCCGCGGCCAATGCTTGCTCACAAACACTCAAACTCCCAGAAGTAACCCAATACCGGTCGTCTCATGTTCCCGACCGTGATAATAACAAGGAGACTAATTCGCCGACAATGTGTTTACTTGCCAGGGAGACACCAGAATCAATCCTCCCCTCCCCCCTTCCCCTCACTCCTCCCCTCTCACCCCTCCGGCCAAGGCTAATCGATGGCACCGTCACCCAGGACCTGCCCGGGCGGGAGATGGGTGATGGCTGACATCGACGTTTCAAGGTGGGGGTGAATACTCTCTCTCTCTCTCTCTCTCTCTCTCTCTCTCTCTCTCTCTCTCTCTCTTCATCGTCCCTTAAGGAGCAAAGGTGCATTTTGAGTGCCAGTGTAGTTGTGGCGGGTTAATGTAGTAGACGGGTGGTGTAGCAGCAAACACTGAGAGAGGAAGAGTGTACTGGTGTTATCAGTGTGGCTGTAGAGAGTTACGAGGCAGCTAAAAGGGGATGGAAGGAGTTGAAAAGACAAATGTGTTTTTTATAGACACAATTAGTTTACCTTTCTTGACGAAAACACAGGTGGTGTCACATGAGGATTAGCCCCGCAGCCTATTTCACTTGATGATTAATCCCCCCTAACACTATCTGGTAGCCGTCAAGCTTATTTCACCTGATGATTGAACATCCTAGCACTACCTGGCGGGGGGATAGGTTAATTTAGATTAGGTTACGTTACATTACGTTATATTACGTTAGGTTAGCTTGAACCTGGTTAAATTAGATTAACGTTAGGGTGTTTATTCTTCAGGTGAAATAAGCTGGGAGGTTAATCTTCACCTGATCCCAAATGTGATTTATAAACAGCGGAAAATAGTATTGGTTCCGTTTGTTGTCTTGAGTGTTGATGACAGGATTGGTCTTGTTGCTATCAAAGGCTTGTTTCTTCCTTAATAAGACAATTTTTTTTACTGGCAGTGAGCCTAAACATAAATTAGAAAATAGATGCCATTTTTACTGTCAGTAATACCTTCATGAATATTACTGTGGCTGAAATATACTGCCTAAACTTCACGGTTGAATACTCGGGTAAAAAGAAATAACTACAATAATAGACGAAATAATTTGAAACTGAAAAGAAGAAAATCTGACCCTGGATGAAGTAATGTGTATTATACAGATATGTCATTTTTTCTTCGTTTTGTCTCTCTGGTTTTTTATTTCTCCCTGTTTCAACTTTTATTCCAATACACTTTTTTATATAGCTACCAACACGGCTGCCCCACCTGTCTACCTGTTTTATTATTTTTTAGAACCAAGAATTAGACTCACTTCCCATTCTTGTTAATATGAACGTGCGCGCGTGTATGTGTGTGTGTGTGTGTGTGTGTGTCCCAGCTTCCTCTGACTCCGGGAGAGTGTTTGGTGGGGATTGGATGAATACTAATACAACTAATTTGCATACGTCACATACATCAACACCGGAAATAGCCTCCGCGCTCGGCCCTCACACCACCACTGTTTGTAAGGTCTTCCTGCCTCCTCCTTCTGTCCTCTAAAATATCTTTTGTGTGTGTGTGTGTGCTTGTGGTGCACACAGGGTGGTGTAATGTTTCTAGCATGGCAGCATTATGTTAGTGCTAAGGTGCAAGCACTGCTTGCTTCCTCTCGCTTTCAGCTACCGCTGCAGGCTAGCCCTCTTGGCAAACAGGGAAGCAACTTACATAAGTCCTCCCTGGCCAATACGCAGATTTTTCACCATCAAGACTCCTGCTGTGCCTCCTCGTGGCAACACACGGTAACTGGGTGCTTCGTGGGCCTAGGCTAGACCAGCAGGGGATCT